GATCGCCTGGATGAGCTGCGTTCTTCTGCACCAACTCCTGTTCCCACACCTACACTGACCCCTATACAAACTCCTACCCCGACTCCCCGTCCTGCCGCAGATGACACCCTGTCAGAGATAGGTTCAAATGACGATCATAGTATATTTAGTATGGACCTGGAGGCCGGGCCCTCCCATGGCCTTTCCGCAAAGAAGGAAGGGTTTGCAGGTGGGGGCTGCAGCTCTGGTGCCCCCTCAGAGTGCTCCTTCGAGAGTGATGCCCCTGCAGGGATGTTGAATGGCAAACGTAGTAGCCTGATAGAGATCTCACTCTCTGCTCTGAGAGGAGATGGGGAGGAGGATGTACCTGACGCTTTCTCTGACTCAATGAGTGACCAAACAGAGCCAGAGATGAAAGCAGGGCTTGGTTTTTTTTTCAAGGTAGGTGGCTGATTTTTGTTACTGTATGTGCCATTCTAAAAGGAATGTTTTTGTAAGGTCAGTACATTCATGACTTTTTTCTTCTGTCTTACTTTTTAGGATGACAAGGAGCGACCGGAGGATGAGATGGCCCAGAAAAGAGCAGCTTTGCTGGAGAAACAGCAGAAAAGAGCAGAAGAGATTAAAAGACGCAAACTTGAGCAGGAAAAAGAAAAAGAATCAAAGTGAGGCCCTTTAATATTCAAATACCTGTATTTATAACCAAATGAAGACTGTGGCGTTTAGTATGTTACATTAGAATTATTTAGGGTAGTCAGTTTTTTCAGCGTGTAAGTGATGATGATTCAAATGTATTGATTTATTGTTCTATGTTTAGTGAATTAAACACATAATGCAATTACTTGTCTGATACAGCAGTCTCATGTTTTTATCATTGATTTTGCAATGTCCGTGTCACACACAAGTTTTACATGTTATTGTCCTGTACTCTTAGCAAGCCTCAGTGGATGATCATCGAGGGCTGGGGAAACAAGAGTGAGGACAGACCGCAGACCCCAGGCACCTCTCCAGCATCAACTACCCCAGTAGAGGGGACGCCCCAGCGCAGAGGAGACTTCACTAAACAGGAGTATGAGAGGAGACACCAGCTGAAGATCATGGAAGACTTGGGCAAGGTGCTGAGGCAGAAACCCACCACGGTTCGTGGTGTCAAGAAGCAGAGACCCAAGACTGTATTCAGAGATGACTCCGTCCTCTCTCATAGCCCTGTCAAGGGTTTCATGGGTAAATAGTTCTGATGTGTGCCCACACTGTTTCTTAGTCCTGGTATGCCCTCTTCCTACACTCACATGTATTTGGTTTCTCAGTGTAATTTATTTTTCCATCCTCTCTTTTCCTCCTTCTAGGCACCAAGCTGAACAAGGTGTACTCCCAGTCAACCACAAACCTGTCCTCTATGGCTAATGACTCTGGAGGCTTGACTGTCAGGAAGTCTCCAAGGTAACCTGCACAGTGATGATGGCTTGTATTTTCTTGCTTGGAAAGTGGGATGCATGTAATTCAGGCTAAAACAGTGTAACAATTATTTGAAATCCCAGAGACATAAAATTTATTTTACATGTTCCTATGATAAAGTGGAGCTGTGCAGTATATCATAATATTGATATCTTTATATGAGATTAACTATGATTCAGTGGAGTGAAATGAGCAAGAATTACCTCTGTGTGATTATTACACATTATTATTGATCATCTTTCAACATTGGTCTGTAAATATTTTCGGCTGGCACAAATTACCTTACTGAAATATTGTCAGAATATTGATATCAATGTATCCAATGTGTGTGTGTTCACGTTAGTTGTATACCAACTACTGGTATTCTGGTAATTTACCAGTGTTATCAGGGGCAAAGGTGCATGTAACATAACATATACACACACAGCCTCAAGGTTTTCTCACTTTCCTCACAAACCTTTTTTGGACTCTCTCTAGCCGTTCACACTCTCCGTCCCGGCTAATGTCACCAAGACGAACGAGTGCTCAGAACGGAGAGAAGGACTGGGAGAATGGCTCCACTATTTCCTCCCCTGCCTCAATCCCAGAATACACAGGTCAGTGATATGTTCCAAACTGAGAGATTATAAAAAAATTAATCCAGTGAGCATTGTTTTGTTGAGTGAATGACATTTACAATGCTGTCTCTTGCAGGACCAAAGCTGTACAAGGAGCCAAGCTTCAAGTCCAACAAGTTCATCATCCATAATGCTATCACTCGCTGCTGCCTGGCTGGCAAGGTCAATGAACCACAGAAAAACAAGATTGTAGAGGTAAATCCATGCTGCTGTGTCAGAGTCCATCAAAAAGGTCCCCACTAACTAAGCCTACAAGTGACTGTGATTTCAGTTGTCAACTCCTCTTACCTTGTGTCTGTCTCTCCCTCTTCAGGAAATGGAGAAGAGCACGGCCAACCACTTCCTCATCCTCTTCAGAGATACCAGCTGCCAGTTTAGAGCAGTTTATACCATGAACTCTGAAACTGAGGAGATGGTACGGCTCACTGGCATTGGGCCCCGGATCATCTCACCTGAGATGGTTGAGTCCATTTACAAGTACAGCTCTGACCGCAAGCAGTTCACTGTCATCCCGTCCAAAACTATGTCCATGAGTGTTGACGCCTTCACCATCCCCGGTCACTTTTGGCAAAAGCGCCCAGGAACTCCGAAGAAGCTTGGCACCCCCAAATAATGACATACCCAGGATGGGTGTTAAAATTCAGGAAACCAACTCCAAACTTGACTCCTGTTGTCCTCTGTTTTGGCGAGTGAGGCACTTGAGATTGTTTATTGCCCAGTTAGATGAGCAGTGGACAGCATGACTGTTGAGGCTTTTGGCCAGCTTACAGCCTGGATCCCGAGAACAATCCAGTCAACTCTATATGCCAACAGAAAGGGCCAATCACTGACTCATTCAGCCAATGTAGTTACAATAGTTTCTCTCTTGAGAGCTTCTGATTGGCTCTGCCTGGTTTACCTAGATTGTAAAATGTAATGTGATTCTGTCGGGATGAAGAATTCTCTTTACCTTGCCCCCTGCCTCCTCATGCCTTGCCTTACCCTGCCCCTGGGGTCATTTTTATGACTCTTAGGTAAGAAAAAGAGGGGACAACCACACTGCCTTTGCCCACACAACAGTATTTTGGGCCAGAGTAGTTCCCGCCCCTCTCAATTCTGCTTGCTTTTCCTTTTGCTGCCTTTCTTCTTCCAGGGCTCACTCTCTCTCCAGTCTACTGAGATAAGTGGCTCAGCTCTCAGTTCTAATAGGAGATCTCAGCTGAAAATGAATAGCAGGTAACACTGCTCTCATATGAATGTAGGACACACACTAACCACTCATTCCATTCAGAGGTGTTTTCACTAGTTGGTCAGGACAAGAAAATATTGGGTTGTTCCTCTGTGGGCCGCACTGGTGGTGGCTACTGTGGTTGTCAATGGACTTGCACACCTAGAAACTGCCTGTGCCCCCATAGTTCATGCATTCCACTCCATTCCAACTCTCCTTCAGCTGTAGACATCTGGATGTTTTTTTTATACTCTTTTGACATGTTTTTGCTGGACAAATTGCTTCAGCCTTTGAGAGCTGAAAGAAGAATGAAATTCATGTGACCTTTTCCTCTTAACTTGCTTTCTTATTTTCAACATGTGATGAATTGAAATGTTATCTGAGCTATCTTGAAAAAAAACAAAACAATACTGGAAACCTGAAGGAGGGCTTTATCATGTTTATCCCTACTTGGATACAGCTCTGTGTGAAAATGATAATCAATGCTGATTTAATATATACTGAATGCTGATGACTTTGATTTTTTGACAATGATTTGTAAAAAGTAAGTTGACCTTTGTAAGCTACGAATAAGCTAGCCTGCTGCTTAAGCATTAGTGAGATGTATGTTTGAGATGAGAATGAGTGAATGAGAATGAATAGAAATTGTCAAACAGCTGGAAATTGCTGAAACCTTTTGTCTAGGGATTAATAAATCCTTTAGGTCACTAGGAGTCTGTTTCTTATGATATGATTCCCTGTTTGTGTGCCCTGGCATATGGACAGTAGGTTTCTTAATGAAGGATCATTCCGGACTGTAACAGCCCTCATCTTCCCCAGACAGTCTCTAGAGACTCCTTCATTCATAACTGGGGGAATGTAACACATAGAGCTGTTTTCTTTTTTTGTTTTCTTTTTTTTTTTTCAGTGTGTCCATGCTATTTGGAAAAACACTTGACCCTGCAATTAATTGTGATCAAGTCAATACTACCACAAAATATCTGTGGGAAATTGGCCTTCCTTTGCAGTCTTTAGCACTACAGCAGCTGCCATGGCGCAGCTGTCTTCTTTCAAATCACTGACTGCCTCCAAAAAATGTGTTGTTTGAATGAGATTCCAATGCAGATGTGAAAAAAATGTCGAGCAGCATTTAGGAAAAATGGTAAGATGATTGATTAAAAGTGTGAGTGGAGGAGTGCATATGGAATTAGTGGATGTTTGTATTTATGTGTTTGTAAAGGATAGTATGTGGTAGTTATACACTATATTTTGATTCTGTGCAATTCTCCCTTAGAAACCCCCATGTCACCCAGAGGTGTATTTATTTGGTTTGCATTAGATGGTGCATTTGATGTTTAGTTCCAGGTTTTACTTAAGTCACTTTTGGTTAAGGTGGTAAATCACTCATTCATTTCATAGAAGTTGTCATAAAATATGTTTATGTTGTTTTCTTTCTGTTCTGTTATCAAATCTGTGCCAGCACATCATGTATGTTCATTTTACAAATTGACTATCCTTGGCAACTGGACCAGACAAATAAAAATCCTTTTTAAATCATCATCTATGTTTTTATATTCCCATGTTTATTTTTTCCATTGTTTATGTTATTAGAATTTTGGGTTTGGATACAGTTGATATCAGTTTGTGCTAATAGCCTATGAGTGGAGGCAAAATCTTGCTGCAGAAACTGAGCTTTTCTGGCAGATACTGAAACTGTTGATACACGGTTAAGCCAATCCAGTCATGAATTTTGAGTAGACGTAGGCATATCCAAAAGACATTTCTTTATTCAGTGATGCATTTTTCCTTTTTCTTTACACAGTTGAGCTCTGCTTAATAAAAAAACATCATGGTAGTGCTTGGATCTCAGATCTGTCCAACGGTACTGACAGACAGGGCTGTTTGGCTGTTGTAATACTGTTAATAATGGGCACTTTGGTGAAGCATGACACAAGTTAAGTAAATATTCCTTTTCATTTCTGATCCTGGATAACATTTTCCCCTCACTTCTGAGCATGCATGTTTACTATTTGCAACAATCATCAAAAGTAAAGAGCACTGTTGGGTCTTGACAATACAGCAGCTTCTTCTCAGTTGTGCTTGGTGTGCAGCATCTCAGTGAGTAGAGAGTTGCAGGGCAAATCTCCCAGAAGATGGCGCTGGTACAAATACTCCTCAACCTGCAAGCTAATGCTGCGTACTTCAGGCAGCCGGAGCAGCAGCTGGCCGAACTTGTCTGAGTGTCCTGGATGACTCCGTTGGGTGTGCTCCATCAAGGCCCTGTTCACCCTCTCTTGAGTCTGCTCCACCTGCCTGTGGCTCTGCACTGACTTCACATCTAGAGCAGAAAGAATATACATGGCATATTCATCATAAACGCAATACATTTACACATGACATGTACATACTCAATGCCAACAGAAGCTGTGCAACAAAGTTGATCTCATTTGCATTTTATATATAAAGGGTCTAAATAACTTAGACATTCAAAAGGAATAGCTCACCAGGGTTGAAAAGCACCAGGTATTTGAGACAGACAAACTCATGTCTGTCTAACTGGAGTGCCTTCAGTTTGGACACCAGGTCCTGGGTCCTTGATACCAGGCCACTTAGTGTCACTCCTGCCTGAGAGATGATGGTTGACACCTCAATCTGCATCAGCATTAGAGAAAGGTGGTCATCAGAATTAAAGTTTCTGTGCAACCCAAAATGTCCTATCCAAAGATATTTTTGATAATCATAAGATCTGCATTTTGTGTAGTAAAACGCAACCTGTTGTCCTGTGACCAGATAGATGCAGCCCTCTTTGCCATAGGTCACCTGCCTACAGAGGTGATCCAGGACTAGCAGCTCACTCCAACAGCTCTGCAACAGTACCATCTGGTCCTCAACCTGTGGAAAGCATAAAGAATTTATGATGTCTGTTGTAGTTGCAAATTAAAGGCTACGACCTTTGACCTCTGAGAAATACCTAAAACATAGCAAAGAGTAAATGCCACTGCTAATAAGGTTTATGTAACATTATATTTTTAATATTCATTACATTGAGCTCCTTGAAGAGTGCACTGTTCCTGGCCCACTCTACAAGCCCAAACAGAGTCTGGTCAGCCATTTTGCACATGATGCTGAATGTATTTAAGCGGTCGTGTTTGCCACGATTGGCCTGTTCTCTCTGCAGACTGGCATGGACTTTGGCACACAGCTGTCTCTCATCCTGCTCCCCCTCCAGGAGCTGGCTTAGGAAGTTGGAAGTAGGAGTGGCTGATGAAGGGGTGTCCAGGATTTGGGTGGGAGCCTGGGTCAGAGGGGTGGTTGAGCTTTGTGTTAAGCAGGGGGATGATGCTGGTGTACTTCTTTGTGTAAATGAATTGTTCGGAGTTGGGTGCACAGGAGCTGGAGTGTAGCCAAGAGCCATTTCTCCTTTCTCCTGGAGGTATCCAGGGAAGGTGCGGTGGTACAGTCCAGAGTAGGACAGGGATGGAGGAGTGAGCACCTTGTCTGTGTTCATAGTGCAGTCCAGAGGCATGGGCGCACCCAACTGCCCAATGCCAGAGGGATACATGTGGGACTGATGAAAAGCATCAGAGGACAATGGAACACTGTGACTGCTCATTAGGTGGAGGTCATTTGGAGCTGTGGGTCGGTGTATTTGGGTAGTTTCCATTTTAATCCTGTAGGGAGCAGTGTTTGCCTGATGACACACTTTTTGCTGTTTTATCTGCCTGTCCCGCCGGTACAGAGGTCCAAATTTATTCCTGCCACCTCTCATACGATCGGCTCTTACTGCTGTCGACAGAACATGAAACAAATGATCAATGATTTTATGGAAAGATTTCAGACATTGCCAAAGAAGATTTAGTTAATAAAAATTATAATAAACTGATATTAGGGCCCACAATACAAAGTCATCATATATAATTTGGGTTATTACAGCACTGGTTTACAATTTTTTAGATAAGTCATCTGCATGTCAGTGGAACACAAGACATGTTGCAATGGAGGAGAATACAATTACAAAGACACGAGTGTGTGTGTAAATTGTGTGGGCTATTTACGGTACCTTCTCTCTTCATGCCTACCGCCAAACACTTTTGGAAGCGGCATGAAGGACAACGCTTCCTCTGCGAAAGGTTCATGGGGCAGCTCTGTTGTTCTGCGCAGGTGTAATGCTTGTTATTCTGCACTGAGCGCTTAAAGAAGCCCTGCAGAGAGAGATAGAGAGTGTAAACCTGTTGCTTAATTCTCTGCAGATTAAAGACAATCCTGGATGACAAAATATAATATGCATCATTATAGGTACAGAAATAATATATCTTTGTTTTATAGTAGTGGGTCTACAACCCCAAAGCACCTTATGGTACCATTAGAGAAGGCATTTTTCTATGCCTTACCTTGCAGCTTTCACAAGTGAGCAGCCCATAGTGGTATCCTGACACTTTGTCTCCACAGATAGGGCAGCTCTCGTCTGGCTCTGGTCTGCTGTCTGGCTCTGTCTTTAACTCCTGAGCTGGAGAATGACACCACAATTAACATAAATGTCAAATATGCCGTAAGACACAAACTTCTTATACTGGAGGTGGCCAGTGTGGCACAAGGTGAGATAACAAGTGCTAGTTGTTCAGTGGAGACTGTTATGGTGATGTGCCAAGCTACTGAAAACACATACATGATCCAAAGGTCAAATCCAGCTCCAGCCATCTTTCCAGTTCCCATTTTCTTCTTCAGTTTTAGTAAAATACAGAGATGTCAAAAGTGTGTAGACTTCCCATCGTGTTGTATTTGTTTTGTTGCAACAATTCTTAATTTATAATATGTCTGGAATGAAAACATACTGTCAGATTTGAGTTAAAGTACTGCAGAATACTCTAGTTGAATGCTGGGCAGCTGACATGTAAGTGTGTCATCTAATGAGGTTTATTGCTCAGCTGTTGAGAGAGTAACGAACAGTACAGGACCATCCCTCTGTTGCAGACAGAACCTTATCACTGAGCTTGATTTGCTTGACTATGACCACTGATATGACCCTTACATAATTCCCAGAGATCACTGGTTATGACTTTCACTGGAGCAAATCTCCCAAATGGAAAATCCATAGCACAACGGTGAACAACCTTTATGCCTTCTTTTCTGTAATGTGGATTTCCTCATGGACATGATCAATATCATTTCTGTACTACTTAATAATTTCCAGATACTGTTACACACTTTCAAAACAAGACGCTTAAAACATTGATATTTTTTTTAACACTGTACAAATCCAAACAATATTTTATGAAACCTGCCACAATGGACACTATCTACCTATCTTTACTCACATGTTGATGATTCCTCGAAAGTTAACAAATCCTCTGGGTAGTTGCCAGGGTGGTGGACAAGAGGCGGAGGCTGCTGTGGGTGATGACCAGGTAGGTCCATTCTGGCTGATGAGCTTCAGAGACAGTCCAGCCTGACCTTCATTGTTGCAGAGATCAGAAGACCAGACAGACACTGCAGGAGAGTCACAGAAAGGCCGGCAGGAAGGCCCAACAGCCCCGGTGGACTGATGGTCGTTCAAGGCCCACAAGTGGACTTCGATCTGTAGTGAGTGTAATAAAACCTCTCCTGACTGGCACTCCTACTCAGTCAGTCAGTTGGTAAGCCAGCCAGCCAACCAGCCTCTTCATGGGACACAGTCAGATATTCACCTGCCGGATTGTTACTTTAGTGAAGTCACTCCAGTATCATTGAGCCATCCTGGAGCTCAGCTGATAAGATAAGAGTCCACTGAAGAGTACAGTTAATTACAGTCAAAACTACAGCCATTCAGATTGCATGCTAATTCCTAGAGTTTAACATGAAATTTTAGTATCATTATGTATTGGAATTCATGCAGTGGTGTAAGTGCACAAATCCTTTGTTTAATTAAAAAGTACAGAAGTGTAATTAGCAAAATATATTTAAAGTTTCAAAAGTAAAAAAACAGGTTTCTGCCAGTGATGTGTAATTATATATGACATTATTAGATTGTGGATACTGATGCATCACTGTGTAAATAGCATCTTACTGTTATAGCTGGTTAGCAGAGCTAGTTTTAACAACTACTTGTATACAGTTAAGTACTAGTAGTGGAGTGTTTCCCATCTAAGGGTACTGTGAGATAAGTAATGGGGGAAATAAGACAAAATGTTTGTAATTTCTCTAATATTGGCTTTTTGTGTGAAACATTGGATCATTTTAGCTCTCTGCGCCTTGGATTTTAATTTGAATTGAACCATCTGAAATGTTTAGAGGGGAAATCACTCTTTAGGTTTACTGCTAACAACTGACAGACATCTAAAATGTGACATAAGGGGTCACAACTGCATACATCTTTTTAGTGAGGGGTCACAAGGCAGAAAGTTTGGGGAGCCACTGGTTTAATCTTTAGTAATGCAATCTCTTCATGTGTTTTTAATGAAAAATTTTAACCTGTGAAGTAACTAGTAACTATATATGTCAGTTGAATGTAGTGTAGTAAAGTAAATATGTTCCCTCTGAAATGCAGTGGAGTAGAAGTTATCAAAAAAAATTTAAATACTCTAATAGTAATAGTAATCAGTAATATTTTAGATATCTCAAACTGTACTTTCCACTGATGAATAAATATCAGCTGTTTATTCTTGAGCATAATTTGTCAACTTTGATAATGCATTCAATCTGAAAACATTGCTTTATTCTGTATAATACAATATTAGTCAATTAGTAAAATCAGAGACTGTGGTTATATTATTGCACATTCCTAGCCAGTGCTTGAGACGATAAGGTGACGATCAATAGAAATGTTACAGACTGCTGAAGTGAGGCAGTTTAGGGGTGGAGGGTTATGACACTAGCACATTAACTTGTAAATGAATTATGACATTCATCAATGAAATAGTCTCCCTGCTATTTTCAATGGCCTGTTTAGTTTCTAACTCCGTCTGTTATTTCAGATGGTAAATCTTCATGAAATAAAAAAATACTGAACAATCTTAAATGCATAGTGCTAGACAGTGAGCGTAATCCTTGAAGTACTAGTATTTTTAAACTTAGTAGTGCCATCTGGTGGTATTGTAGAATAACACACACTGGATTGTCTTTTCCAGGTTTCCTCTATTGTTAAACCAGCTGCTTTAGATATGTTTTAGGAAAGGCCCAAAGAGGAGGTATTTTAAAAACAACAACAACAAAAAATGAATGCAAAATGGTAACTTTATTGAATACAACACAAAACCATCAGACAAGCTGTAAAACCATTGTCACAAGCAATGTATGCTGTATGCTTTATGTGGCACATTATGACTTGAAGCAATGCCCAGCTGCATATAGAAAGCTGTTATTGCACAGGGCTCACAATGTTCAAGAGAAAGGAGAAAACTCCATTTCCTCACTGCTGGGACACTCCGGATCATCGTCAGTGACAAACCACACCTCATTGTGCCTGTTAAACATCGTCATTGGGCTGCAATGAAACAAATACACACACACACACACACACACACACACACAAGACATGAATTTATTGCAGAATATAAAATCCACTTTGTTCTCTTTAGGCTTTCTTTTGCTTTTTTTCTGATTATCAGAAAGAGAAAATGATGATGATTTGTTTACCTGTTATAACCAACAGCATAGTGGAAGTCTTTTTTGTAATTTGCTTGAACTGAGTCAAGGGCAGAGGACAGACTGTTAGCATTGTTTTTGTCAGCCATGCTCGTCATCCATCCTCCGTAGCTCTGTCCATAAACGGTCATAGCTGGCATGTCATGGATGTGCACCTGCAAGTCAGCAAAGTTTCATCATCTGCCAGAGCTGAAAATAGGCTTAATAGAAAGAATTCAAACATGATCATGGCAATTGTCAGAGAAGCATACCTTATCATCAGTAGGTTTGGGGGGATTATTCTGATGTTCCATTGGCAGCAAGAAACTCATTGTGAAGACAGCCGTTTCCCAAAATCTCTTGTTAGGTATTTTCACAATGACAGGAGCTGTCATTGCGATTTTCTTTCCTGAAGATAAACATTAAACAAATGCAACAGTTTTTTTTAGAAATAGGAAATACATAACAAACATAAAATGTTCTGACTTGACTATCCAATAAAACCACCAATCTATCTTTGCTCTCTGATCACAGCTAAATACAGTAATTATGTCAGGTCAAAGGACATTTTATTTTTGGTTGTACCACATATTCAAACAGAAGTTGGAAAAACAGGATTTAAATACTATGTTCCTTAGAAACTGAAATAGTTAGAAAATGTTTTGCAAGTAAAAGACTTTGAAACATTATAGTCAAGTGTTTTGACTGCTACTTGCATTTGTTTTCTATAAAGTTGAGCAACCGTATTGTGTATGTAAATGGTGCACTGTTCAGATTTTCTATTTGTCATGTATGTTTTTTTCTTGTGCACGAGTCTCGTGAATCAGAATAATCTTGATCTCTGATGCTGACCAATAAAAGAATGAATAGAACAAAATAAATAAGTGGATGCACACACGCACCATCCTTGTTGGCACCAGTGATGTATTCAAACAGTCGTCTGAAGGCTCTCATTGACGCCATCTCCATGAAGAAGGATGTTTCCTCAGTTGAAACCCATTTCACAGAGTCATAGTGACGGGCCTGAGGGACATCAACAAACACAGGGGAGTGGACTTTTTAAAAATTTCTTGCACCTGAAATGTGAAATGGTTTCTGTATTGCTCAGACACACTCACCTCATATTTGTCAGTTTTACAAATCAGATCAAACAGCAGACATTGTTCTGTCTCAGTACAGAACGTTAACTGAGATGAGTTTCTGTGTAATTAGAGTAGAAACTATTAAAAAAGGCACACATGCCGATCTTAAGAGGCATATAAGGTGATAGCAGTAATCATCTTTGTCAAGATTAGTGTGATTTGACTTGCAGAGGTAACAGTTCTTCCAGTTTTCTAATAATCAACAATAAGAACAAGTAGATTGCTGCATTTGAACAAAATTATAATTTTGTTCAAATGCAGCAATGCATCAAATGGAGACTAAATCCAGTTTCTTACCCAACTCTGGCCTCAGCTGTTAGCACCAGCAGAAAGCCAACAAGCCCTGAAAGATAAATCCTGACACACACATATAGTGTGAGTGTTTTCACTCAGCATTAAGACTTGAGAAGCCACATTTTTTGTGATCCAGTGAAAAGCTAATAGTTTTAACACAACATTTAAGCTAAGTTCTGTAGAAGTTTCTGTACAATGATTTTTATCTAAGACCATTTGGGCAGTAAAACTTTACTTACATGGTTGAAGACTGGGTTCCGTGCATCAGAAAATTGTATCTTAGCAGTCTGGTCCAAAGCAACTATTTATTCCAACTCTGGTTATGAAAGGACAACTGGCCACTCCCTGAACCCATAACACAAGCCAGACATTGCAGTGTTATGACCAATAGGAACCCAAAACAGAAACAGGAAAGTGGGAAGATGTATGTGTTAACACGTGAAACAAGTTTGACTGTGTGATTGACATGTTTTGCAACCTTTCCAAAGAAAAAAATCTCTGTAATGTGAAGCAACATTTAGTATAACATTCATATCTTTTTACTGACTGTCAGTTCAGCTGGAACTACCAATGTTATTCTGTGTGTATGTTTGTGTGCACGTGGATGATTGTGTTCATGACTGTAGGAAAAGGCATATGTGTCATAGTTAGTGGTGCTGTTGTACTGGATTGCATACTGATACAGCTGTAACAAATACAGTGGCCACTTAAAGTGTAACACCAGATAGAAAAGACAATTGGCAGTCAAAGAGCAAAATACTCAAAGTGTCACTTTTGCTTTGTCACTTGCAAGTATAATTTATTGTGCAGTGTAACCTATATGTCTCTCTCCTCCAATGACAATGTAATGATCAAAATAAGTAAAAAAAGTAGGATTCACATTCAAAATTAAATAATCCAGGAAAAAACAGGAGATTTAACAGACCCACGTGAGTACAAAGCAGGTGTGGTAGAACATTGTGAGAGGCGGCGCTCACATTTTTACTCTCAGAGCATGAGAGGAACGCCTAGTTCCCATGTAATATTATTTACACCACATTGTATAGAATGTCCTAAATGTCCACCTTGGCTCTGAGACTTGAACAGAAGTGATGGACTAACTATGTACAAATTAACGTTGCAAGAGAATTGCTTGCATTGTTCCTTCTGTTGTCACAGACCACCTAATACCTGTTTTGTACCAGATCCCCAAATCCCTGGAGTTTGGTTTCATGAAAAAAATGCATTCAACCATCAGACAAAGGGTCCAAACACACCCATTAGGACAATAGATGCGAGAGTTTTGGTGCACAATCACTCTATATGGAAAACACTTTTAATGATTACAGTGTTTGTAAAGTTGTTTTCTGAAATGTGTTACAGTTGATTTTGTTAAAGAAGGTGATAGTAAATGGATCATTTAATTTATAAAGGAATTATATTTATGAAGGAGAGGTTTCGGCAGGTAATGGCAGGAAAACTCTGATTGTTGGCTACACCTGTTAAACTGAATACTGAACACCGAATGGGGTAATGTAACTTGAACAGCAGACATATGAAACCCTTCCTCAGATCTCAGTTCAACTCTTATGTATTCCCATTCTCGGCTGTTACAAAACACACGCACGTAATTATTTTCATAACAGTGCTGTCTGGTAAAAAAAAAAAAAAGAAAAGAAAAAAAAAGAAAGTTGCTGATACAAGTCTTGCCAAAGTTCATGGAAACAAGATTCCATCATTATAAAACTGCATCAGAGGGTTGGATAGCTGCTCACGCTTGAACTGTGTCATAATATCCATTTTGTTCACAATGACTCATACTAAAGCGGACATGTGATTTTGTGTGGTCATGCACACAGCACAGTGGTTACATGTGAAGTTACCCTGAACAAAAAACCCATCCTATTGTGCGACCAATCGCTGTACTGACGGTTCTACTGAGATGTGAATGAGAGGGGTATTTAGAACCATGAGCGTTTACTGCTCCTCCAGTGGTCACAGTCAGGAACTGCAACACATGTTGACAGCATACCACCGGGATATACTTTGAAAGTGACAAAATTGAGAAAATCAGAAATAGGGAAGTACTGTACATATATCTAAACTGATTATTATTCTTAATATTATTTTAGCATTATAAACACTATTGTTATTATATTCAAAAATAAATGTTGTGGTAAATTTATTTTTTTGCATTTTAAGTATTTCTAGAATTTACAATTTATTATAACATATATTTATGACAGGACAATGGCATTATTATTATTATTATTATTATTATTATTATCAGTCTTCCTTGCTTATGCAGTACTGAGACTGAGGCATTTACGGACACCGGGAGTAGTAGTTAGGGTTAGTTAGTCTAACTCATAACACAGCGCTTTGAGAGACTCATAATATGGCGTACAGCCATGTAGGCGTGATGTGGTGTGCTGCAGTTTTCAAGGGACTCGTTGTCCCTTAAAGAACTACAATTCCCACAGTCGGCCTATGTGACCCGTTTAGGTAATCACTGGGCTTATGTAGCCGAATGTCCCGATGTGATTTGGCCGTGTCCCTCCTCTCTGAAGTAAGGATAGTTTATCGATCCGTCGGTTTGGGAGGCTGCAGCCTTTCTCTGCCGTATCTGTCGCTGTGGAGGACGCGCTACTTGCTCTACAGGTTGGTACACTACAACACCATCTGAAAGCAGACCTGCAGGCCTTCAGGAGTCAGTGCGTACTTTGATGTGGTCCTGTAGGGATCTACAGTGTCTGCAATACTCACAGTCACTTTACTTTAATGTATGATCAGTTTGGATGAGTGGCACATTAGTCAAATACTGTGTTTAACCACAGTTTTGAGGTACTTATATTGAGTATCATATGTTTGTGCTATCTAGACAAATTCAGAAATTCGGATAGAAAATTCAAGCACCCAATATTCAAAATATTGAATCTAAACATCCCTGATACTAAGGATGAAACATTTAAGGCTGCTTCCACTAAGGCACCAGTAATAATGAAACAATATTATGAAGGCTGTGATGGGGACATTCAACATAATAAAGTACTTTGGGTAATAATACTTTTTCCTTCTACTTGAGTGAAATTTTGAATGCAGCATTTTTAAAAAACTTGTATCTGGATCAGATACTTCTTCCACCACTAGTGATACACAGTATGCATAATTTTGTTCTGTAATTTACATTACATTTAAGCCACAGTGTCAGTAATATGGTGTGTTGTATACTTCAACTCAAGTGTCTAAATTAAATTCACATCATCACTAAAAACTAACAGCTATATCACTGAAGTCCCTGGTAATGGAAGTAATTTTACTGTTTGCAAGGGCCTTAAGTCAGACATAATACACAATAATATTCTACAATACCTTCCAAAATTGTTATTATGTTATTTTCGTGTTGTACACAAGTGTGAATGAAAGGCCTCTTTAGACGAGGCACTAAGCTTGCTGTTGTAGGCAGATAAACATTCCAGGATATGTAAATCAGATTAGAGCCAATATAATCTTTGAACAAATCAGTCACCTCAGTGGTGCCTCACAGGGGCAACATTTAATGTGATTTAATTTCTTAGAGGACTGACTATTTTGCACCAGCATTCAGTGACCATACATGGAGAAATACAGATGTTAAAGACTTGAAAATAGTAGCAGAGATACCAACTGCCTCTTATAATCCAATGCAGCTACAGGATTTGTTGCATTTTGAGCAAACAACGTAAGTCTTGTTTTTATTGACTGTAAAATCATGGACACATTCAGTTCCATTCTCTGGTGATTTTTAGTAGCCCAGTAACTGAAATAAATGTACACATGGCATGTTAGTGAACATGTAATCGCAAACAAATTGTTCCTTGTACAGAATGGTGATAACAGTGATATAATATTGGAAGAGGAATATTACTTTAATTTCCCTGTTTGCAGGATTTTTTAACTGAGTAAGGTCTGAGGTCAAGGAGCCATGGGAACCAGGAGGGTGTTGGTAACCGGGTGCTCCTCTGGCATCGGCTTGGCTGTGGCTACACGGCTGGCCAAGGATGAGCTTAGACGGTTTAAAGGTCGGCCGTTCTCTCTCCTCAACCAAAACAGAGTAGATGATAGAAATAACCACAGCTACTGACAGCCACTGTGTTTGTTGTTTATCTGAGGCAGTGGTTGCCACAATGAGGGACCTTAGGAAAAAGGGGCCACTGGAGAAAGCGGCAGGTGACACCTTAAACAAAACCCTGGAAATCAAACAGTTAGATGCCTGCTGTGAAGCCTCCATCAGAGAGTGTGTCGACAGCCTGCCGGACAGACGAGTGGACGTTCTTGGTCTGTCTCCTCTCATTCACATTCTCACTCTTCACTGTTTAAGAATTAAAGATCTCTACACAAGCATATGATGATGTAGGATACTCTGCTGTTATAGTGAACAATGCTGGCGTTGGCATGATTGGACCACTGGAGTGTCAAAGTATCGCTGCCATGAAGGAGCTCTTCGACACAAACTTCTTCGGCCTGGCACGGCTGGTGAAAGAGTTGCTGCCTGACATGAAGCGGAGGCAGAGCGGCCATATTGTGGTGATGAGCAGCGTCCTGGGAATACAGGGTGTGTTTGTTTGTGTCAGTAAAATTTGAGATAAACCAATTAGAGAATGTTGCTAACAGTTTTCCTTGTTTCTACACAGGCCTTCTGTTCAATGACGTCTACTCTGCCTCCAAATTTGCTGTGGAAGGATTTTGTGAAAGTCTGGCAGTGCAAGCGATGAAGTTTAACATCAAGTGATTAAAAATACATTAGCCTTAACAATTTAATGCAGTAAGCCCACAATGGTAGGATATTTACAACTCATTGACTGTAATGGAACATTGGTCCTATGTATCTTTTTTTTATGTCTCTGTCACAAGGACGACTCTAGTGGAACCTGGCCCTGTGGTAACAGAGTTTGAAAGGAAAGTGTACGAGGATGTTGAAAAGATGGATCTATCAGGGACAGATGAGGAAACCGCCAAAATCTTCCGGGAAATTTACCTGCCATACTCTAAAAAGATCTTTGCATCATTAGGCCAGACACCAGAGGAAGTGGCTGAGGCAAGTGATGACAGTTATGTTCCTATTTGAGTTCTAAAGGTCACTAAAAATAATTTGTTTTGCCAGTGAAAATGCATAATGTGGAAGCCCCCTTGAGTGTTGAGTTTTTTTATTTTCTGTTTTTTTTTATTTAGCAAACCGTTAAAGTGATCACAGCCAAGGAACCACCACTGCGCCACCAGACCAACCGAGTATACATGCCCATGACTGCACTAAAGCATGCAGATCCAACTGGACGGCTACCCCTGGACACCTTCTATAAAATGATCTTTAAACATGATACCATGTTTAATGCTACTCTTAGGGTGCTTCACATGCTGCAGAGGCGGGCAGGGAAGAAATAAAGATTTCACTGCCATTTTACACACTATATATTGTTATTCTTACAGAGATAGTGAGTGAATGTGGTAGCTACAACCTGTTGTTACCGTTTTTTAAGCATAATGTGAAGTTTCCTTCTGAGCAGCAATGAGCATAACACGTGCAATGGGATGTTGTCTATACCATACACTGGTACACTAAGAATAATGTTAATTCCTCATGTAATGTACATATGCAAATGGTATTTATGAACTTCATTACTGTGAAATAAGCAATATTCCATGTTTTGTTCTAATTAAGTATTAACATTATTTGTTTTTCCCTTAATTTTAAGGAAAACAGGAGCTGGGCAATAAAAAGAGTATACAAATTGTTTGATTCTAACAAGAAGATTTGGTGTAATCTACTTGTTACAAAACAAGTAAAGTAGGAAGTAATAGTACCATACTATATATGATTTATCTTGGCAGACAGACAAAGTGACAAATAAATAAATGATATAATGTATAATGCACTAAAATGCATGATATTATGAATGAATAAATTATTATAACAGAAGAGTATTCTTTACTGTTGGGTTTTCACTGCAGTGGCTTTCAGATAACATATCCTTTTCAAGACACCCAGTCAAGTCCAATACCATAGCTGCCCCATCAGGTTGTTGTTGATACTGTAGCATTGTCTATACCACTATCTTCCCAGGTAGGTAATCTAGGTCCAATCATAGAAATCTACCAAACTGCTGAAGTTATGTGAATGATCTGTAGCTACAAAAATAAAAAATATGCAACATCCTGTTCCCTTATAGTTCATGCATCATAAGCAAAATGTCTTGTGGCAAAAATGCATGTTCTGGCTATTATGAACATTGTTGTTTTTACAACATTTTTCCTCAAACTGCCACTGAGATTGAATTATGAAACATTTTTGATGGTCCAAAACTAGACTCAAAGGTCATTGACATTTCCTGCAATGGGAGTGTAGTCTAAATAAACTGAAGCTTTGCATTAAACGTGATAAACAATATTGACATTATAAATAATATTTAAACATACATACTGTCCACTTACCATCTTCAGAGACACTACTCCTGCTGGGAAGATGCTGCACACCCCACTATGACCCAACCTCTGTTGTACAAGTCATTGCAGCAATTAACTGGACAAAACACTGGGGGGCAGACTGTCACTTAGACCAAACTCATCATTATTAAAGCAACACAATTTATGGTAATCCTTATATCTGCTAGCAGTCTGGCACCATAATTGACCAAATCTGGATTTAATCTCCTTAGTGGCAAATTCAGTAGGCAGGAGTCAAGTCAGTGTGCAAATGCACATGCACATGCGCATTAAAGCCTTGCTGATTTTCTTGGGATTTGCTAATACCAGCTGGTGTTTACAGCTAAAAATAAGATGAGAGCTCTCAATCCGTCCTTTGATTCAGAAAGAAGGGAATGTACAAGAATGAGGCAGATTTTAACCCTCTCTTTCTATCCCTTTTTTGAGCTTAAGTTTAATAGGATAAACTACATTAGATTGACATGGACACAATATCATGGGAACCTACATACATAATCTAATAATGAATAATAAATAATACGTATAGTTAAAATTTTGTTGATGCAGATCAAATAGGTGTTCATTCATCGTTGTGGTCATTTGTTTATGTTGTTGCGCAAAATAATTGGAAACCTAGAATATAATGCAGTCGAATACAATACAATACAAAAATGACAATAAAATAATAAAAATCTAAACTGTATTATTAAACATGAGAGGTTCATTTATAGTGGGCGGATATACTGCAAAGAATGTAACATTTCAGGCTATGAAACTGAATAATTCATCTTGGGTATCTGCATTTTCTGTTTTATTTAAATGGTTACGATTATGAGGAATGAATTAATGAATATCCTCCTTTAAAATATAAAACAATCACTAAACACGAAGACACAAAAATGTAGTTCCCTACAGTTTTTATTATAAGTAACTTATTTTACAACTTTTGACTGTAAAAAGAAAAACCGTGGAACGGTTTTATGTACAATGATTTTGAACTACTTTTAAACAAGTATAGAAATGAATAATGATAGAAAATATCTATGACTGTTCTAACAACACAAGACCAATAAAATATCAGTCACAGCCTCAGCTTCAAATAATGCTAAATGAAGTACATTTTATTTTTGTCCTTTTTAGTACATAACAATCATTTTAGAAACATAAGACATCTCAAGCAAAGATCTACCCAGAACAAACATATTTACAAACAAAAGTTGGGAGGTTGAAATGTACAAAAACACTTAGTGCGACCTGGTAGGGAAATTGAAAGACCAGTTATATATAAAAAATAAAAAAAACAAACAAAAAACAAAAGCTGAGTCTATAGTGAACAGGATAAAACAATGAATGACAGATAAACTCAGTCTATGACACAACTAGGGGCAGTGTTAGGTCACCACAAAAGTAACAGCTAGAGGTGGTGGCCTACTCATTTCTGTTTACGATGTCACATGATAAAAATGCAGTGGTTACTTTCTCAAAATTCTACTGTTATCAATTGACTTCATGCTGAAATGTCCTCAGTACGTTAAGGAGATGGTGACATCTATCCTACACACTCAGGTCATGTGATGATAAAGAGTTGGTCAGACATTACACAAGGTTAGCTGGATGACTGGGAGGTGTCATCTCAGAATTTTGTAAAAAGTTAAAGGGCGCAGCACTACATAGTAGTGTTCTTTCCTTCAGTCTCTTCTAACAATAATCTTAAGATGCAACTCCATGACCCCTGGACTGGAAGCTACTGTAGATGCAAGGGGAACCGTCCCACTGCATGCCATAAAACACCTCCCTGAGGAGTGACAGGGCATAAGCAGTCACAGCCCAGAAGGGATACGCTCACACTGACCACTACTCCACCACAGACACTACCAGAGATGAAGTGAGAGTGTCAACAAGATCTCAACTGCCACAGATAGTCCAGGAATGTTTCCATTTAGTCCAGTGAAGGACACGATGCAGGCTCAACAAATTAAACTTCTACCTGTCTGTAAACTGGTTTTGCTTGTTTGATGCTGCCAAAAGGCACAGCATCCAGACTCAACCAGTCAGCCATAATAGAGGAATGTTTGCAGGGAAGAGTGATATAAAATAGCAGCTGATAAGCATAGCTTAGTACATCAGAAGTGATGTTAAAAAAGGTATCCATGGTCTTCACAAATATAGAGTATAAAACAAATGGAACAAACAAACAAAAAAGGGCAGTGAGAGGCTGATTTTATAGGCAAAACAATTTCCTGTTTGAAACAGTTTCTTAAAGTGAATGAAAACGAGCTTCAAAACTGTGTATCAGGGCTGAAAGTAGAACTGGTAAGAGACCTGTAGAGTCAATGAGAATCTATAGTTAAAATGGGAGCATTACACCTAAAACTTTACTTTGTTGATTTATTTTGAAAGGTCATGAGGAAGATGCCCCCTATACAGTATATCATAAATATCCATTGAAGTTAAAGGTTGTATTTGACCCACACTTTCCCCGTGAGGCTGGTCACTTGAAGTGCTTCTGAGACACTCATCTACATTCTTATTCATAATACTCATATAGAAAATAATTAATTACCACAATTCAATCAAATCAGAACATTTCACTACTGCTGAGCAACTCTTAATATATATTTTCTAGAACCAGTTTATCATCCTTACCAGCTGTTTGCCTAAATAAATATCCATCAAGAGAGGTGAAAATTCCTCTTTCTGTCTGTTAACTGGTCTGAATGATGAGCTATATTCCTTTACCATCACTTGCCATACTGACTAAATAGAAATGTAGGCCGTATAAAATAGGAGGGGCTGGCACATTAGGACAGAAAGAGCAGTAAAAAAGCATTTCAGAGAGATAAAAACAATAAATAAAAATAAATGAATTCCCTTCAACAATTTACTTTTTTTCTCTTGTCTACTTTTTAAATGTTTGTTAGTTTCCAGGAGAGCATCCCTAAGTCTTTGAAATGAAAGACTTGGTTTTCTTCATATACTTTTTTATAATAAAAAACAAGTCCATCTGTGACAGAATTACTTCATTAAATTGTCTGCTGTTTTTTCAGACAACACACATTTCCCTTTACTTTTTTTCTCTGCAGAAATCACTAGCAGACGGTCTTCGTGATAAACAAAGTCAATCCAAATCCAATGAAAATCTTGGAAACAGGCTGACACATAAACACAGACAGGCCCAAGAGCCAGTCCACAAATTCTTTTACCCCAGGTCCCTTTTCATGCAGGGGCCATGAGATCTTCACGCAAACACCTGCATCTTGCCATTGGGCTCTGGGATTTGAGTAATTTGGGTCTGGGCAGGGCCAGCTACTGCTGGGCTGGGTGTGGAATCTGACCAGTCGGAGACGCAGTGAGGGGAGGGGCTAGACCAGGGCTCTGGAGACTCTGGGGAGGGGGTCAGGTAGGGGTGCTCACTGGGCAAACGGAGGTAATGCTTGGGCGTGGCATCCAGTGCGGATGAGTAGCTGTGCTGGGAAGGAGGGGTTGGGTAATCCTCCGTTCCTGCAGTGCTGCCACTAGGCTGGGAGGGCATAGCCTGACTGGGCTGGGCTGCTGGTGTGGCTACTTGTGGGGGCTGAGCAGGAGGCTGGGGCTGAGAAGGTTGCTGAGGCATCTGCTGCTGCTGGAAGAAGGATGGTGGGGGCTGGGAGGTCTGGGGTGTTGGTGGGGTGGAGGTGCCCATGCGGGCCATGCTCTGCTGGCTGGTGATGGTGTGGTTGATGAGCTGCTGCTGCTGTTGTTGTTGTTGCTGCTGCTGCTCAGCAATGGAGGGCAACTTGACTGGGCTGATAGTTGGTGTGGAGGTAACAGGTGTGGGCTGCAGCATGGTATTACGGTAGATCTGCTGTTGATGCATTAGCATGTTTTGCTGCTGCATGGCTGGGCTCTGGGGGTGCATGCCTCCCTGGCTACTCTGCACAAGATTCACTACCTGCTGACCACATTGTGAGGAAGGGGTCATCCGGTTGTGCCAGTCAAAGGGCACACTGACAGGACTGACCATGCCCATGTTGATCCCCATCTGGCCTGAACTCAACACATAGCCATGGTTGACATCTGAAGCCATGGAGACGCGTCCCTGCAAGGACATTCCTCCAGCTCCCAGGTCATTGAGTTGGGCTAGAGACACAGCAAATGGGCCACCTCCCTCCAACATGCTACTATGTACCATTGGGGTGTTTGGGACAGACATGGAGGAATGGTAGAGCCCTGGTGACTGCATGGCCACAGGGGAAGTGGGGTTGGTGATGTACCCAGCATTGCTAGCTCCCCCGTGCGGTGAGTCCAGTGAGTCCACTGGGGACAGGGTGACGGAGCTCTCCAGTAAGGCACTCTGCATGTCCAAGGTCAGCTTCTTATTGCGAGCCTTGACTGACTCCTTCAGACTGGCAGCATGTTGGCCTCCCAAGCTAGAACCCTTGGCCCCAGGCCGACGGTTCTTCTTGCCCTGTGGGGTGTTCTTCAGACTAGGTAGGAAGGCACTGGGGGGGCACATGAGAG